ATGGGAAATAAAATAATGTAGAATTGAGTGCCTCAGTTTATTCTTCCAGTTTATTTGATGCAGGCATCGCTGAGCTTGTAATATGCCGAGTGGCTTGAAGTACCAAAACATTTGTGTAAGTCAGTTGATCTCACTGGCAGCGTGAATGAGTGTGCACAATGGACACACCAAACTGGATCTTTCCTGACCACGACACCTACAACCACTGTGTCACTCCTAATGATGCAGAAGAATGGTAAGCTAGTCAAACACCTCAAAAATCTTGCCTGCGCCATCTCTGCCATTTGAGTATGGTATGCCACAACTGCAGTTTGGAAATCTGGCAGCGCACAACACATCCCAGATGCATCCGCAGTACGTGATGATGACGTCCAGTGCCAGATACGCCCGCAGTGTTGGTAAGTTGAACCTCCAATGTGGTGTTATTTTTGGATACTTGAGCACAGTTTATTCCAGTTTATTTCTCGGACTCTGTACAAGTGACAGTTTGGTGATGGCTCGTAAATTGGAGAAATAAAATGGCAGAATAAAATAAGAATTGAGTGGGGCTAATACACAAGCATAATCTAAGAATGAATTACTCACTCACTCCAAAAGATACCCCCAGAAAAGTCCTTCAATGATGTCATCAGGGTCGAAGTCTTGCCCTGGTTTATCCCCGGGATACAGGTAGGTGGGCCATAAGGTGGCAGTCACCTTCAGTGATCCACTTTGGATTTTCTTATTTGTTCTGTAGTGGCGTTAGTACAAGTAATTCAAGAAACATTAACTTACTTGGCTGGATCCTCGAGGTAGTCAACCAGATATTTCACAGGACAAAGCATTTTTACCAGCTCTGGGTGGTTGAATCCCATTCTGGAACAAGACTTGCTGTCCTCAGTGATTACAGGTTGGACAACCTGTTTATCAGGAAAAGGAGCTGCATACAAGCCCATGTGGGACTTGAGATGACTTGCATCTTTGGAGCATGTATGGTTGATCATGTTTTGCATCTGTAGATACTAGTAGCACACTGCAATTATGTATATGGTGACTTACATACCTTGGTGATGAGTTGCTTGAGCTCCTTGTGTTTTTTCTTCTTCTTACTGATCAAATCCCCAAGATAAGGGGCATGTTCCATGACATATTTGAATGTTCGCTTGTATCATGCACAAGTGATATCATCCTTGAAAATGATGTTAGTATACATATATGTATGCAATCAAAGCATGCATACAGTAGCTCAAAAAAGTGTCTGAATGTTTATGCATTTTCAAGTAATTGGATAATAGCAAGCCAGCACCTGAGTACAATATAAAGGCATAGGGACAAGTCTAAAGGCTTGACATCATAGCTATAATCTGAGATATATATCGTGGGAACTAGACCACATATGGGCAAGATATGGTAATTCTAATCACATGACTCATTTGGACACTTTTTTGACTTTATATCCAAATCACAAAATCCAACCATTCACAGATATTATTCTTAATAGAAGTGGTGCAATAATCAATATTTGGTCTTGTTTTAATATTATTTATATATATGAACCCACATAACATCATGAACTTTAACATAATCATCATACAGCCCATCTCCTCTGCTTCAAAGGATAATATCCTTATTCTCTGCTCCTCTAGTTTGTCTATGAGGCAAATTGCTTCAAAAACTGGTCCTAGCAAGTCTACTATTTTGCTATAGTCATAAACCAGAACATGCTAGAGAAGGAAAATCATAAAATGGGATGGTCTTTCAAGCTTACTCTACAGCATTAAAGAGCTATTGTTTATTAAAGTCCATCTGGCAAGGCTTCAAATGTTGTCCATGCCACCAAGTTCATCAATTCCATCATCCCCACTCCCATTCCCACTCAAACAGTCAAAAACACCCTTAAGGCAGCCAATCTTATGGCTGTAACCAAAAAGAAAATGCCTCTGGTTTCAGCAGCCTATAGGGGCCTTTGCTTTAAAGCACCAACATTGGACTATGGAAGACTGGAAGAAGGTAGTTTATTCATATGAGATAAAAATCAATAGAATGGGGTCAGATGGCCTGGAATATGTGTCAAAAAAGGTAGGGGAACCATCAGGGGAAAGAGAAGTCAAGAACATACTAAAGTTTGGAAGATGAAGTATGATAGTAGGGGTTGTAGGAGATGGAATGGTGTGGGGATTCTTTGTGAGGTGGAAGGAGGCATGAATGTAGAGCAGTGAATCTCCATTCTAGAGAAGTGTCTACTCAGAAGCATGCAGAAGTCAGCAATTGATGAAGAAGACATTATCTTCCAACTGGATAATGACTCCAAGCATACCTCAAAGCTCATGAGATCAATGTTCTATCATTGCCAGCATAACTATAGCAATAGTAGACTTGCTAGGACCAGTTTTTGAAGCAATTTGCCTCATAGACAAACTAGAGGAGCAGAGAATAAGGATATTATCCTTTGAAGCAGAGGAGATGGGCTGTATGATGATTATGTTAAAGTTCATGATGTTATGTGGGTTCATATATATAAATAATATTAAAACAAGACCAAATATTGATTATTGCACCACTTCTATTAAGAATAATATCTGTGAATGGTTGGATTTTGTGATTTGGATATAAAGTCAAAAAAGTGTCCAAATGAGTCATGTGATTAGAATTACCATATCTTGCCCATATGTGGTCTAGTTCCCACGATATATATCTCAGATTATAGCTATGATGTCAAGCCTTTAGACTTGTCCCTATGCCTTTATATTGTACTCAGGTGCTGGCTTGCTATTATCCAATTACTTGAAAATGCATAAACATTCAGACATTTTTTTGAGCCACTGTATATGCAGTCAAGTGGACTTACAACTCGTCCAAAATCTTCCTGTGGGCAGCCTTGATTTCTTCTTCTTCTTGTTTGTCCCCATCCTTGGCCACTTCTTCTTGTTCTAACAGTAAACACACCTGGATTACCTGCTTAAGATTGCAGAACATATCCAGGCCATGTAGGATCCATCATGCAATGTGTATGCACTGGTCCTGAGAGGTGAGCTCTTTGTTACATAATCTTCTAGAATCTCATCAAGGTGAGATTTATCTGATTGTGTAAAAATGAAATACATCACCTTGATGTTTTTTCAGCCTTCTTTTCAGCTCTAACTGGGCTATGCATCTTATATGCTTCAGGTAAGCTCTGTTTGGAACAACTGGCATTGTTGAATGACTCACCTGGCCTTTTTGGACTTGCATCCTTCCTTATCAGATGTGTTGGACACATCTCTCCCATGTTTCCCAGATATCTGAGGTGGTGGTGTGCTTGGTGGAGTGCTCACCTCTGAATCACTGGAAGAGGGAGATGATGAGGCAGAATTGGCATGATTATGATGTGCCATAGTGGTGGGAGGGAAAAATCCATGTAACAAGATAAGATAGCATTAGATGTGTTATTAATGTTTGTTTGTTGTTAATTACCAGTATACCATTGGTACAAAACTATAATGTCAATATATAACATTGTTGCCAGCTTATAACTACCATATAACATCACTACCACCTTACTTCTGCAATATAATCTCGCCATGACCATTGTAGAGACTCACACCTCTATATCACTGCTATAGGATGATATACCACCTCTTCTCACTGATACTCCAGTTCTGATCCTCAGGATAAGTCACTTGCACTGTTGCGCACTAACATGCAACTGCCACACACATGCAAACGCACTTGCATGTCCCATGTGCCCACTCTAGGTCCTCTGCTCCAGTCCATCCACCTGTCCGTGTCCTCACTAAAGTCCACCAGTGCATTTTTATTGTATTCTTATCACTCTGATGTATCTTCTGGACTGATTACGGTGCTGTAAACGTGCATGTGTGCGCTTAAGCACCATTACATACAGATATCACTACCTACTTGCTTCACTTCTGCGCTACAAGTGACGCCTAGTGCTCAATATAGAGAAGGGACTTATAGTTTTTGAGAGATATTATCCTAGCACTCCCCACCTCTGTGTATGAGTAGTAGTTTGCACATTAGAGAAAGTTGAAAGCTCCCAAAAGTCCAGATTTGTGTGCTACCTGCTTAGATGCAATCACTTTGTGCCAGTTTGATTCCTTCTTCCCTGGATTTAGTTTCCAGATAGCTCTTGCCTCTATGCTTTAGACCCCCATTGTGCACACTGTGTTTCCACATGTGCACTTTTACTTCCTATCGCCCCAGTGTGCTTTCACACACATCTCAACTGTGCTTCTCCCAGCATTCATGCTTCACGTATCCTCTAGCACCCATTCAGTTTCAGGGTCTCCCTCAGTTATTTTAAGGACTCTCTCTCAGTAGCTGTCCTTTGGGTTGAGTTCTGTCTCACATCCAGGTCTTGCTGTAGAGTTCCCCTAGTAGTAGTCTGTTTCTCCCATAGTCCAAAGTCCTCACCTTCACCATGGTTGAGCTGCATTTACTGTGATGTCAGTGTTGGGAGGCTTTATAATGTGCCAATCACATGTGATGCACACATAAGATAGGGCTCTTGCACAAACCACCAACATCACATGATAAAGAGTGACTTGGGCATGATTTTGTTGTATAAAGTTAATGCCACTCATAAATCTTACTTTTTGGAAAATATAATTCTGCAGTGTTCTGTGGGTTTGAATTTTGAACAACCCTGCATGGCTGGATTTTTTGAAAAGTTGAATTTGTGAGTGGCATTAAGAAAATGGAATGTTATGAGCTATGGAATGGAGGTTGTGTGCATGACACACAGGGGAACATTATGAAAATGGTATACCATTCATTCCACAACTCTTCTGGGTGGAAAAATGCATAAATGCAAGGCAGGCCACCTGAGTAATCTTGGTAGATATGCTGAAATAAACACTAAGAGGACCAAGGTCAGAAAAGCACAAAAAGAAGAGAAGGAAAACTTGAATGTGCAGGCAAGTCTTGGCCAGGTGACTCAGATATGTTTCATTGCTTCTAATATTGTTCTTAGCCTGTAGACCTACAGTGGCTCAAAAAACTGTCCACATGTTTTGACATTTTTCACTATCTATGATATTGTGTGAGAATGAACAAATGCCTCAAGGACATGCTTATACCACATTGTAGTATGGCTTCAGGGCTTTCATTTGAGCCCTATACCGTGGGAATCGGTGGAGATATGGTGGAGATACAAGGCTTACAAAATCATGACTCATGCAGACAGTTTTTTGAGTACATATTAAAACTATATAAACCATCATTTATGACACCATAACAATCATGCCACCATTAAATAAATTATAAAGTGGTGTCATTATGTCATTTTAAAACCATATCTAACTATACAAACCAAAAATTTCCATATGTCATGGTTATATTCACCATGAAAGCCACCCCCCCTGCTCAAAGGGATAATATCCTCTCTCTTTCCTATTCTGGCCTCTCTGCTTGTCAAATTTCCTCTAGAACTGGAGTATCCAAGTCCACTGTGGCCAAGTTCATCAAAGAAAGTCACACAGACAAGGAAAACTTCTGTGAGGGGCATCCATCCAAGCTCACCTCTACTGATAGGAGGGCTATTATTCAACATATCACTACAGGAAAGACTGATAATGCTGTCCAGGTCACCTATTACATCAATTCCACCATCACATTCCCTATCTCTTCACACACTGTGAGAAACATTCTCAAGACAGCTCATCTCAGGTCAGTAACAAGGAAGAAAAGGCTCTCCTCTACATCACACATAAACAGAGATGACTAACCTTTGCCTTAGCCCATCAGAATTGGATTACATGGACTGGAAGCATGTTATATGATCATATAAGACCACAATAAATAGGATTGGGTCAGATGGCAAGGTATATATGTGAAAAAAGAAGGGTGCTAGTCCTCTCTGCATATGTGTGATAGAGAGGAGAGCCTTTTCTTCCTTGTTACTGACCTGAGATGAGCTGTCTTGAGAATGTTTCTCACAGTGTGTGAAGAGATAGGG